TATCTGCTGTCACACGCTATTAATCACTGCTTATGGACTACACTTGTTGGGTAGCCATCTACCCACAATGGTAGAATTTCCCATTTCCCCTATTTGCTTATGAGAATGTCACGTAAGGCAGCACAGAGATAGCATCACTCCTGCTTTCCCTGCAGTACCCAGCCCTAATGAAGAGAAAATGAGATCAGTTTGACACAGCATGTTCCTGCTCAACCTATGTTCTCAGCCCCAGCACTGCCCTCTCGGTGTTTACCGCTTGGTGTCCTTACTAATTTGTTCCAGCGGTTTTCTGGGTACCAAGGCAGGCTGACTCATCTAGAGTTTCTCAGGTCCTCTTTTCTCCCCTTCTTTGAAGCAAATGGTGAATTGGGCATCTGTATCCTCCTGGGACACAGCTCCATGACATCTCTCTGCATTCCTGTCCCCCTCCAACCTTGCCACTGTTGATGAGTGAATGGTGGTTACCCCATTGCAGTGAAACTCACTGCCTCCAGGAACAAAGCTATGGCTGTGGGTTCCCTTCCAGGCTGGACTGTCTTCATAGTCAAGCCCTTGGACAAGTGGGTTCCACTTTTCTCAGGATGGATTTGAGGCAAGGAAGATCAGATCCTTTGGAAATAGTGATATGCCCAAGCTGAACTGTAGAGAGGAGTCATTGCCCCATTGCCCTGGACTTCTGGGGTGGAAAGGGATGCTGGGGAATGGAAAGAGATTTAAGAAAGGAGGTAGATGTGAAGATATGGGCAGGTATTACCCCACATGGCCTCTTGAGCCTCACAATGGTCCCTCCAGGCATCAGGAGAGAGCTCAGCCCCCTCCAACAAAGCTCTGGCTCAGTGCCACGGGTGGTGGGTTTGGTCTTTGGGGCAGTGGGATGGGCAGGCCCAGGGCTCCTTCCCAGCTCTTTGAACCCCACACACCAGGATCTGGCCTGCTGGCACTAGCACATCCCACCAAAGGGAGCAGCATATCCCACCAAAGGGAGCAGCATATCCCACCAAAGAGAAGAAGAGAGAGAAGGAGAAACCCTGGAGCTGATTCAAAGCAAAACTAAAGAAAGCAAACTGAGGGTGGCAGGAGGAAATGCAGATGTTCTGCAAGCCTGCAGCAGGCTCGGCGACAGGGCAAGGTTCTTAGTGAGACAGGACAGAGGAGATGCAGTGGACCTGGACCCTTGCAGACACACCAGGGCTGTGCAAGCTGCCATGGTTAGGGGTCCAGGCAACCTGTCCACTAGCCCACAGATCATGCCATTAACGCAGGGGCCAAATACTGCAGTACCTCCAGCCCAACCTCTTCGAAGCTGAAACACAGCTGAGACCTCCCAGTCACCAGGAGAGTGTGGCACATAACCTTACTGCCACATAACCTACCTGCCCCTTCTCCCCCCAGCCCCAATGTCTCATTCTGTAGGAATGGTGCTTTTGCTGCCCCATGGCATAGCTCTCCTTGAAGACACTGCTGCAAGAAGCTCAGAAAGTTTTTTTGAGACCTGGTTTTTGGGCTCAAGTTTCTTTAAGGGATGCTTGCTCACATATTGTTCCCAATCACCTTTAATCAAGGCTGGGGTATATAAGGAACCAGGCTGGCTTTCAGCATCTGCTACTTAGGTATAGTAGTTTAGGCATGCTGAAGTCACACATCCAGCTTCCTGCAGTGCTGACACCCTGAGGTCTTCCACCAGGATCTGGCCCTTCCCCATCACCAAGTCCCCAACATGGGCTGGGGGATGAGCCCAGGTATGATGCCAGGGAGCTGGCAAAGCATTTGGTACTGGCTGTGGTGGCAATGCTGGGTGCCCGCAGTTGGAAGCAGCTCCTCTGCCAGAACAAGGCATGCAGGAAACACAGCTGCTTTGGTGCCTGCAGCCACCTGCTCAGCTGCACCCAGGTCCTGGGATAGGAGGAAGTGCTGCACATGGATGGGGTGGTTTGGGTGCAGTGTGTCTGCAGAGGTGTGTATTATTTGGCACACAGTAACTGTACAGATGTAGGGGTGTGCACGCACTTTTGTGTTCATTTGTCTGTGCTTTCACATCAGTGTCCATAGCCAGGCTGCAGATACTCACTCTGGGTTGATACAGAGACAAATATAATTCAGACCCTTCAGTTTGGCTGCTGTGTGCTTGTGAGCACAAAGCACAGTGAAAGAGGCTGTCACTCGCATCCTCTGTCACTCACATCATGATACTGGTGGGAATGAGGTGAGCAGTTCCAAACCTATGCCCTCTCCCTTCTGGCCTTTTAGGAGTCATTCCCAGTGATGGCACATCCTCAGAGCACAGAAGAGTTGGATCCAGGTGCTATTTAATTTTACAGGGCCTTGTTCTTCTCCTGCTTGCACTACTGTAAGCCTGTCTTCCCAAAGTGGGATGCTGAGGACAAGGCTGGGACCCTGTGGCACAGGGGTCAGCCCCAGCAGCTGCAGTACTGCAGGGAGTGAGGTCAAACAAGACAGCCAGACGGTAGGGTCTGCCTTTCTGCTCTGCAGCAAACCTCCTGTCCACAGCCTAAAGCAAAGACCATTGAAACCCTGCTACCCATGCCCCTCCACACCCAGCAAAGCAGCTGGATGTACCCCAAAGCCATGCCAGGCCCATCAAAGCTCAGCCTCTTACTGGTGCAAGCACAGAAAGCCAAAGGACAGTGAGGGTGATGAGGCTGCCCAGAGAAGCTGTGGCTGATCCATCACTGGCAATGTTCAAGGCCAGGCTGGACAGGGCTTGGAGCAACCTGGCCTAGTGGAAGGTGTCCCTCTCCATGGCAGGGGTGTTGGAACTGGATGATCTTGAGGTCTTTTCCAACCCAAACCATTCTAGGATTCTGTGACTTCAGGTTGTCAGTTCAGCTCCCCCAGAAATCCTGACACAAATTTTAGCATCCTAAGTGTAAATGAGTTTGGGTCTCTGCTTAATTTGGAGTGGAGAGAAGGGGCATAAACCTTCCAATTGGCACAAATAGTGGGCAGCCAACTGGTATGGGTGTGGTGGTAAACAAAAGCAGAAGGGCTCTGATATGGAGTGAGGGGCAGGCGCAGGGGAAGGAGGAATGTGAAATGATGGAACTAGTAAAGCCAGAACTGGGGACTTCTCAGTAAGGTGAGAGGTAAAACAGCTTCCTCCAGGTCCCGCAGCCAGAGGGAGCAGGACAGGCTGCAGATCCGGCATCTCTGCTGCCTGAGAGGCAGGATGGAAAGTATGAAGCAGGACCCACCCTCTCACCGGTGTCACCTCTGATGGGAAAGTCAAAAGCAAAACTGCTGACTGAGCTCCTGCTTCTCGCCCGCTACAGCCACCTCCTGCCTTGGCTTTCCGGGTGAGCTGAGCCCGGCCGGCTGCAGGTCTCTGCCAGAGCCATCAGGGCAAGGAGTGGGGCTGCTGCTGACAGGCTGAGCTATGCGTTGGTGTGAATGAATGATGTGGGAGTTACTGCCTGTGGTAGCTACTAGGAGCCTTCAGTGGCACTGGTGACCAAGGGGGGCCACTGTAACCACTGTCTCGCCCTGAGGAGGGGTGAAAGCCATCCTACATGGATGTTCATCCCATCTGGCCCCTTATGGAGGCTTTCTGGGGACTTTCCAGCCCCCCACAGGGGACACACTGCAGTGCCTGTCATGCCTCACCACTTCCCCCAGCACCCAGGCTAGCACCCACAGGGCTGCACCGGTTTTATGGGGGATAAAAGGAAATAAAGCCTGTTGACGGTGCTGCTAAAATGTGAGATGCAAGTGACCACTCTCTGGGCTTTGTGGTCTTGCAGCAGGTCTCTGCTGCCTCCAAAACCACTCCTTACCAGGGTTCCTTCCCTCTCAAGTGGTGTCACCTCTTTCTGTTCTGTTTCTGGCAGGCAGCACCACCCCAGCATTGCTTTCAAGAGGGATAATGGAAGTTTGGAGCCAGAAAGCTGCACAGAGCACCATGCTGTAAGCTTTGCCCTGGCTTACGGCAGCCAGGCCCACGGCTACCACAAGGGATGCTCATCCCCAATGGGTTATGCAAGTGCCCAGAGATGAGCCTGGTAAGGGGGGGGACTTGTTTTGCAGCTGCATCCCAGTAACCAACTCATACAGCGGAGAGAAGAAAAAGAGTGGCAGCCTCTCTGCATTATAAAGAGCAGTTTCATGGAAGAGCAGCTTGTGTATGGCATGGAGAGGCCCAGGAACCACAACAGATGCTCCCGCCTCCCGGCTCTTGCTTGCACGCTGCCAAGAGATGTTATTCGGCTGCCCACACGCCTGCCATCACAAGGCAACAGACTCCCCCTGCGTGAAACCCTTTATTGACCCCCTGAGCCAAATCCACCTCCCACCTACTGGGGGGAGGGACAAGGGGATATTTTTCCCCCCTTGCAGAGGAGGGAAGTGCCTGGAGGCAGGAGGAGAGCCAGCTGCCCTCTTCCCAGGGGCTTCTTTAAATAGCCGTACACAAGGCAGTGTCTGCCCCGGGCAAGGAGAATCCCTCAGCCCCAGGCTCCTCTGAGCAGCATCTCCCAGGGTCCACTCCCGCTTTGGCCTCCAGCATTTCCTCCCACAGTCATGCTTGGGTCAGACCTGGATGAGGGAAGGAGCGTGTCCCCTCCAGAGAACCCCAGGTGGAGGCAGAAAATTGAGGCATGGTGTAAATCGCCTTTGGGACAGACCTGTTGGCATCGCTGCTCTGCCACAGCCCCTCCTACCTGCCCTGTGTGAAGAGGTAGCATGAGAAGCCCTGCAAGGACCTTCCTTGTCTCCTGGCACCCACCCCATGGCCATGGTCCCACTACAACCAGTGTCAAGTCCAGCAGCAGCACCTTTTGCTCCAGTCCTGGACTTCTCCCATCTACAACCTGTGGTGGGAGTGAGGGGCCAGGGCAGCCTGTCCCTGCCTGCACCCCTCAAGCAAGGAGGGACCCAGCCCTCAGCAGGGCTGGAACTGCAGCTGCCACATCCTCTCGTCTGGGTGTTTCTTTGCCCGCTCCGGTGTGACAGGCTTCTCCTCTGGGAAAATGATGGTGGCGTATTCAGTCTGGTCAACTGGTGAGGTCTCTGGGGGGACCTGGATGTGCTGATCACACTGAAACTCCAGCACGCCATAGTCCACAGTGGACACGGACACCACAGGGGGTTTCTCTTCCTTCTGCAAGGAAATGCCATTGGGGTGATTCATCATCCAGACGTACCTGCCATCCCCCGCATAAACCCTCTTTTTACAGCAAGTGCCAAAACCAGCTCTGAAGCACTCCAGGAGGGCAGGGGCAAGAGCAATACAAAGTAGAAAGACACACAGACCTGGGATAGCATTTGCCAAGACAAACCGGACCATGAGCCTTGGGGTCACTGCTGAGGCCATGTGATCTCAGCTCTCTGCCTCTGCAGGCAGGTTGGGGTCCCTGCTTACCCAGTCATAGAAGGCAGGGTGGTGCTAGGAGCCCTTTTCCCGCCTGTCTGAGCTGGCATGGGGTGCATGAGAAGAGCACAGGGCTGAGTTTGCTCAGCTCAGAGAGACAGGGAGCAAAGGGGACCTACTCGCTGCCTTCAGCTACCTAATGGGGTTGCAGAGAAGATGGAGCAATACTCCTCCTGGAGGAGCTTGGCAAAAGAAAGAGAGGAGACAGACACTAGCTGCAGCAAAATAAATTTTAGCTTACTATACTGGGGAGAGGGAGAAGGCAGTGCACATTTCCTCCCATTTTCTACAGCAACACAATCCACTGTTAAAGATAAGCCTGCTTCAAGCAAGGGTTGAACTAGAGAGGTCCCATCCTATCCCAGTTACTTTAATTTTGTGATGGGCTGTGCTGCAGGTGCAGAAAAGCAATTGTAGCTGTGCAGAAAAGATCAAGCAGCATCAGAGAAGACAGAAGAAGTGAATCGCCTGTAAAAGGCTGATAAAGGGAGGCCCTGCACCCCAGCGATGCCATGATGCTCCCCTGAAGCACGGTAGAGCATCCGAGACAGAAAACTCACCGCTGGCGTGTTTTCACTTTGTGGTTTCTGTACATCTGCAAAGTAACACGTTTGGTTAGAAGATGCTTGCATGCCAAGACAGCATGAGCATCTGAGGCTGACCCAGTCCCCATGTCCTGCAAGAGCACTGGACACCACAACCATTGCACCCCACTTTCCCCTTCTCCCTTTGGGGTCTAACACACTGAGCATTACAAAGACAAGTGTGATACCAGCCCAGGGTTTAATTAGGATTAGTGGGGTGTGATTCTTTGGGGGTCACTTCTGGGAAAGCCCCACAGGTGCCCACAGCAGGGAGGTGATGAGAGTGACAAGGTGCCCATACAAGGTGTATGGAAGGGACTCCTACAGCATTAACAGACCACACTACTGAGTAGCACAGAGCCACACCATGTGGTCTGGGGTCTCTACGAAGGGCAAGCAGGGCCCAAAAGCACCCTCCTCCCCTAGGCATGGAGATACCTGTCCCATGGGGGCATGCTAAAGCTGGTTTTAGCACACTGAACCAGTCCATGTACCCCAGCGAGTTGCAGGCATCTGGCTGCCCCAAGGTCCCAGCTGGGCTTTCTGGGTTAGCATCATCCATCAGGTCCCCTGGCAGAACCCAGCCCCTTGGCACAGCATGGCCTCTGCAGGGGATCATACCTCCTCTCCTGTACGTGATGGTGAGGTAGCCAAAGATCAGCAGCACAACCGCCCCAACCAGCAACAGGATCCCCAGGACCATGGCCTTGATATAGTCTGGGGGGCTGCTTTCCTCTGTCTCAGGCTCATCAGTAGCATTCGTCTTCTCAGGGGCTGCTGCAATAGCCATCCAGAAAAGTGGGAACAAGATAGCAAGTCAGGAGTGTAAAATGGGCTCTATAGTCCTTGTGAAAGGCAACCAGGGAACATGGCGGCTGTGCCCTGAAAGGGCTTTGTCCCAGGCAGGCTGCTACAGCCCTGCCATCCCTCCACACTGCTGAGAGCTGGGGTGCAGGGGTCCAGGGCACTGCTCTGCACCCACAGGCAGTCCTGCAGCATGACTCCCTGCCAGGCAGAGCCCATGGAGGACACGGCTTCCACAAGCCTCCCCACAGCTACCATGTGCTCGGGCCAGCACAGCATCAGCTCATGTTGGGAAGAGGTATTGTGAAAGACAGTGACTTCTGCAGTGTTTTTCCTTTTCATAAAAGGTCACCTTCAGCACCACAAAGCCCCCGCGCTGCCAGGCAAGAGTATGGCAGATCTTGCTGCAAGATCTCAGTCTCCCACGCCATGGGGCTACAACACCCTCCCAGGGCATGGTTTTGCAACAACACTATCTACACCAACACTGGCTGTTTGAGGGGTCTGAGGTCTGGTCACCATCCCAAACACAATCCCTATCCCCAAAGGGGTTGTTCAGGGTGAAGGCAGCTCCCTACACTTGTCTCCTGCCTCCATCCGTGAGCGGAAGCATCTCCCTATGCTGGTCTCCTGCCACCATCCATGAGTCAGGACTCACTCCTCTCTACAATATCACTAGCAGAACAACCCTAGCGGGATGGAGCTCTCTGGCCTCAGGACTAGATCCAGCCGCAGTGTGGATATGGGAGGACAGCCTGTCTCCCCGGGCCTCAACCCTGCATGTAAAGGCAAGGGGAAAGGACAGATCTGTGCTCCCCTGATCCACAGCAGGTCCTCCCCCAGCAGGGTGGTGTCTGCCTTATGCCCTGGGGCTATAGCATGCTTGAGAGCACCATGTGTCCCCATCAGCTCAGTCCCCAGGCTGACCTGTGACCACCAGCTGGGATCTACTGCTCTCCATCACATTATTGTTTTCAAAGAAGGTGATCAGACCACAGAAGTAGGAGCCTGAATCGTTCTGGTGGAGGTTCAGGATCTCAAGCTTGAAGGAAGGAGTGTGGTTGGTGAGCAGGTACTTCTCTGTCTTCACCTGGCCATTGATCTGGCTGATCTGGGGGCTGATCTCAGCGATTTTTTGGGTTTGGCTGTGGTTGGTCTCCTTGTACCAACTGAGGCTGTACTCCGAGCTGGACTCGTTCTCCATGGAGATATTGCAGAAGAAGGTGGCTGAGCCACCTGCAGGGAGGGTTAACATTGCTGGGAAGAAGGTCACTGATTGGAAGAGAAGAAACAAGGCACAGACATGGTTACAGCAGGCACAGGTCTCAGAAACAGCTGCACTCCCTGCTAAGAACCAGGGATGCAAGGCCAGTCCGAGGCATCATTCTGCATTTCAGGGACATTAACCCTTGTCTCTCCCCTCCCAAATCTGTGCCGGCCAGCTGGAGGGGGATCCTTGGGTAGTAGCTATACCGAGAATTGGTTTCAGCAGTAAAATTAACCCCGAACCAGGGTTCCCCATACCAGGAAAAACAGACTTAGGGTGTTGTATTGTTTTTAAATCTATACTGTGTCCTAATGTCTGAGTCATCCTTCCTCCAGCTGATTCTGCCTCTGAAAGTGAGCAGAGGGACTGCCGGGACTCAGTCCTGGACTGGGGCAGTACCCTGCAGTGCAGACCATTGCGTGCCCAGCTGCCTGTGGGGTGCTCCAGGTCTGCCCACTTCTCTGTGCTGGGACACAACATGGGCAGAGGTTGACCAGGGCACTGTATTTGCCATCTCCAGCCTGAGACCATCTGAAAGGGCAGAGGAACCTGGAGCTTACAGTAACCATCCCTTTCCAGCTCCTGCCATGCAGCCAGCCAACCATACCAGGGGGTCCTGTGAACCCAGTGGGTTCATCCCACGCAGGCAGTGGGGATGCTGCTAACACAGGCCAGGCTCACAACATCCCAGCTCAGCCAGCTCCATCCAGCAGGATAAGGCAGCTGCTGCATTAACTTTGGTTTGGAACAATAAAAAGCAAGCAGCATTTTTCACATGGGTTATCTGACCAAGCAATTCAAACTGCCAGTGGTTTGAAAAGCTCCTGCCGTTAAGAAGTTTATCTTCTCTTTTCAGAAACAGCCACTGATAGGTAGGTGCCCACACTGAGAGATGTAGTTTTTGCTGTGTTTTGGGTTTCTTGTGTTTAACAGAAAATATTATGCAGGCTTGGGTCTTTTCTTCCTAATGAGTACCATTGTCAGCAACGAGTGAAGCACTTAGAGGACTTCTGAAAGCAGAGGTTGGATTTACATGTTTCCCTGCATCCTCTCAGCATCAAAGGTAACATCTTCTCCAAGGGACACCCAGACCTGCACCAACGCTTGGGTCACAAAACACCCAAAGTGACCATAGAAAGAAATGGGCTGGGAGGAAGTGGGGACAGGGTTTGATGAAACCATGCTCTTGCTCGGTCTGCCCAGACTCACTCTTTCCTCTCTGGCCCCCTTTCCTTCCCAGACTTCACCTTGAGCAAAAGTACATGCAGGACCCTGACTCCCTCAGTGTCAAGTCTAAACCAGGAGGCACAGCCTGAAACCGAGACCCAGAGCAGAAAACCCCAGACCTGGCATGGCACTGGCAAACCCAGAGGCTCAACATCAAACCTCAGACACAGCCAATTGTGCCCATAGCACATCTGCAGTGCTGGCATCGTGGGCTGGCACCCTGTCCCCTTCTCCATCCTTTAACCCTGTTTCTACCCCAAGCACCCCCATTCTACTTGCTTCAGCCACACGTACCCAAAAGGTTTGGGTTTTCTGCCTCCTTGATGCCAGAGCTATTTTTAACAACAAAGCTCCCAGCCCATAGACATTTTCCACTGGCTGTGAATGACACAGGCCGTGTCGCAACCACACGATGCTCCGGTACCTACCCCGGCGGCAGCCAGCCAGCATAGGGCCACAGCAGAGCAGGACAGTGCAGAGCCTGGTCAGGGTCACCTCCATGCTGCCCCATGTCATCTTCGAGGTAACCAGAGCCATGGCGAGCCAGTCAGTCCTCTGCCCGGGCAGTTGTGCTGTGCCACCCCAGCTCTTCTCTGTGCTTCCTTCCCCACAGCGGCGGCTTGTTCTCTGACGTGCACAGCAGGAGCTGGGGTGGAAATGAAACGTGCCCATCTCTGCTGCAGAGGGAAACCCATCTGCCTCCCGCCCCCAGCTTCCTCCCCACGGTGGCAGGGATCAGCTGAGCCAGTCCTGGCCTCTTCCCCTCCCATGTAGGCACATGGCCACCAAGCAGAGGGGACAGGCACTTCTGGGGGAAAGCTCCCACGGATGGAGCACGCAGGGACCACAGGGGACACCCTCAGCTCCAGCCTGGCTTACAAGTAAAAGGGCGGTCTTGGGTTCACAGGCATCCATGGGTGCTCACATGAAGTGCCCATGGCAGTGTGGTGCTGGGGGGACATGTGGCACTGGGCAGCCAGGCAGGGTCTGAGCAGCCATGGGGTGCCTATTGGCAGCCTGGTCCCACCAGGAAGTGAGAGGATTTAAGGCACGGATTCCAATTGCTGGTCGAAGACCTTTTTACTTTAGATTACATGGTTTATATATGTTTTTGATCATATCCACGTGCTTAAAGCTACAACAGAATTGGTTAGTTGCTGCTGTCTGTGTGCATAATCTAAAATTATAATTGATTAGTCTGCGTTTTCAACACCATCCTTTCAATCTCTCAAACCTCTCAGTTCCTTCTCCTACTTCTCGTTTTCATCCCTTTTTGTTCCGCTTCTTTTGTTCCACTTTTCTTGCTTGAGATTAGTTAACCACAGAGCTAAAATTACAGAGTCTGGCTCAAAGTTAATTCCCCAAAGAATTAAGGCCGCTCAGCATACTCTGACCAAGTTCAAACTCCTCTTCTCCTACAATGAAGGGATGGGAGAGGAGGAAGGAGAAGAAAACAGTTTGTTCTTTGAAACTAAGAGACAGGAACTTCAGTGAGTACATCACACCACTTTTCTGATGCATAATGCCCTTTTTCCCCCAACAAGAACCTTGCCCAATATGTTGGCAAGGGTCCCACTGACACGGTTGAGACCTGGACAAGACGCTGGTCTCCTGCAGCCCTCACTGCTGGGGCACAGAGCCACCTCAAAGGATCAAGCATCAGTCCCAAAATGGCTTTAAAGCATCTGGGGTATATAACATGCACTAAAAATTTGGAAGATGAAAAGGCAAGCAATGATCGAACAATCAGGATGGAGCCAGCCGAAGGCCAGAGCCGAATGTCCTCAAACCCAGGGAAAGCAAAGCTTCCCAAATGAGATGGGGAACACAATTTACCAACAAAAGAGGCTGAGGAAGAGGGACCCACAGGTCCCAAAGATCCCTCCCCTGTTGGTTTAACTGAATTCACATCTGTTGGTCTGACTAAGGCAGGAGAGGAGCGGGCTGTGGCAGGAAGAGGAAACGGTTAATAGTGTTTGCAAATAAACAAGGAGAGCAGTGAGGTCTTTCAGATACTTCTCAGAGATTAGGAAGGCCCATGCAAACAATTTGCATGAGCACCAGCAGCTGACACTGAGGAGAAAGGTAGCAGCCCTAGGGTGGTGAGTAAGCAGCGAGTAAGCAGAGGAATGGAGCAGAGGCACACAACTGTTCCTTTAGCAAGCAGAAATCTGCAGGGCCTGGGCAGGGTGATGGTGTCTGCCACACAGGTATGGCTTGGGGCCACCACCACGTTTGGCATGGCAGCGGGGTGCTGTTCCTGTTCTGCTGGCGGGCAGAGCTCATGTCCAGCCACTAAGGGTACTAGGGGCTCCCATGGACCATCTCTAGCAAATGGTGCTGCTAAATCCTGTGGAAATCAGGAGATGCTGCTGCTGCTCCGGGTCCCAGCAACCCACCTGTACTCAGCATGTTGGGGCAGGACCTAGCATGAGTTGAGAGGCATCTGTGCATCCCAAGCAAATCTCAAAACCTCCTGCTTCCCAAGCAGCAAGGTCAGACAGCACCCTGCCCACAGAGGCTCAGTGCCCCCAGCCCTGACACACATGCTGGCATCATCCCAGCAGCAGCATACTCCACACTGGCATCAGGTGCACCTTCACGCTGTTTCCATGTGAAGCTGGGTGACACACCCAGGGACCTTTCTTAGCAGCATCACCCACTGCAAGTAGGAAGAATCATCACAGAGATTGCTGCACCAAGATAAACAGCGAAGGAAGCAGGATGTCAGTCAGCTTCTCAGGAGGTGGCCACCGCTCAACAGCCTTCCTTGGGACAGTCAGCAGCTGTGGGCAGGGAAAAGGGCACAAGGATGTGACTGGACAAGGAGGATACTGGGGAGTGACACTTTTAAGCCTTTCTGGAAGATTTAAGAAGTTCCTGGAAGAAAGGAGTAAGACGTGTATCTGCACTGATGGTTTGGGAAGTATGGATCAGAGACAGGAGGGTAACACAGGGTGCAGCAGCAACACACAGGCAGCAACTGGGGAAACAGGCTTCTTAACAGCAGCGACTTCAGGCGGCACCCTCCTAAGCCAACACCCAGTGCCCCCTGCAGCACCAGGACTCCCCCAGCAAGGCCCCTGAGGCCGGGACACCGCCGCAGCCCCTCTACATCTCTGGGTACGGGGCCCCTGCCCTGCTGGCACCCGGAGCGCTCAGAGCCAAGCTCACAGCCACCGCAGCCCAGGCGAGGGAGCAAGCACGGGCTGCGGCCGCAGCGGTTTGGCGGCAGGAAGGCAGCGCGGAGGCACCCAGCGATGCGCGGCCCCCTTCCCCGCCGCTGCCCCTCCCGCTGTGACCTCCCGCCACGCTCACGTCGCCCGGCGCCCATCTCCCCCGACCCCGCGGACACGTGCGAGCCCCACCGCGCCGAGCGCCGTGACGTAAGGCGTGAGGCGTGACGCGCGGGAGGCGGAAGTGGTGCGGTTGCCACAGTAACCAACGCCGGAGAGGCCCGCGGGGCACCGCGGCCATGGACGACCTGGGCTTGGACGGTGGGTCCGGGAACACGTACAGCCTGCGGGCCAGCGTCCAGCACCGGTGAGCCGAGGGTGCGCCGGGAACGGAGAGACGCCCGGGCGGCTTTGGGTCGGGGCGCGGGGGAGGTGGGAGCTGCGGTGGGGCTGTCGGGAAGGGTGTCCCTGGGCCTCGGGGGCTGGTATGGGGCTGTGTGCGCTGGATGGAGGGAATGGGGGAGCCCCGGGGCCATGGGGAACCAGGCTAACTTTGACACCAGACAACTGGGGGGGGGGGTGTGAGGAGGGGAGCATAGGCAGGGGATGCTGCTGGAGGGGCTGGTTTCACACCTATGTTTGTGTGTGTTCAGCTTGTGGCAGGGCTGGTTAATTATCTCCATCTCAGCTGGGCTTTTTTCCCCCATGGTTTTTAATTTCTCATTTTTCTTTAATATATGAAAGTTACATATATTTCTACACATAATGTGAACTTTCTGGGTTTTCTGTTGCTGTTTTATTGCCTGATAGATTTAAATCATCCACAGTAAAGGAATGCATCCATGCAATACTGAAGGAGAAGCTGGCCAATGTACAGTACACTCCGGACGACATGCCTCAGCTTACAATGTTTTTATCAGAGACAATAAAAGACAGACTGAAAGGTAAGGAGGTTTGTTTCCTTCCTAGTGTGTCCTCTCCCTTCTAACAGAACCTTCCTTTATTCTTGAAACCTATTCCTTCCCTGCTGACTGACTCAAGGCTACTGTTATGAAACAATCTATTATATATACATATGTTCCTTGCCTGCAGAACTAGAAGCCTAATTCAAGTAGACAAGATTTGTTTTCATACAGACTGACTGGTGTGGGATGTCAGCCTCAGAGGGGGAAAGAAGCTGCATTAGAGAGAAGGAAGAAGTGATGCTTCATTGCTTCTTGCTTCAATAAGCAAAACCATTGTTGCTGTTTTCCTGCTGCAAGTAGATCAGAGTTGTGTCAGAGTAGAATAGCAGGGAGATCAGAACAAGGCTCAATGGGAGCAGCAAAGGGAGAGAGAATGAGGAGCATTCTGCAAGGAGGGGTGTGACTACAGCCTTACAGCACTGGGAAGGGTTGTGGTGGTGCTGCACAGGATGCCCTCCACCATTTTTGAGCTCAGGAATTAAACTTCAGGCTCCATCAGGTGTTTCCTTGTGTTTGCTGCTAGAGTAAGTCCATAGACTTGTGTTGGTGCAGTCACGGGTTTTTTTGGTCTTCTTCCTGAGGACAGGCTGGTGCTCCATCTGCTGGGCTGGCCTGACTCGGTGGCACAGAGCTACTGTAACCCTCGGCAGGAACCCTGAATTTACACTTCTCCCAGACTTACACATCTGTTTAAAGCCAGCAGCAGCTGTAGTCCCAGCACGAGTTGATGCTGAGCTAATATGCACAGGGCTTGGCTTCAGGAATCTGTAAACACAGTCGCAGTAGCCTGAAGTGAGACTGGTCCAGTGTATTAGCTGGCATTTCCGATGAGCATTGACAGGGTGGATGTTACCAAACCCAGCACGTACTGTTCAGTCCTCCAGTGGAAACAGTGCACCAGAATCTTTCCAGGACACTGATTTGTTGAAGACAGGCATTAGGATCTGTATTTTATTTTAAACATACTTGTTCTCATTTGGCTTCTGGAACACTGCCATGGCCTGACTGGATCTATCCTGTGCCCAAAAAAGTATTTCTTTACTATTGTAAAACAACTGCATATCTTTGCAGACACATAACATACACCCACATACGCTTTTATGTGGCCTTTTATCCCAGGTGAGAAGTAAAGGAAACACCTATGTGGCAGAAGAATTTCTACAATGCTTTTGCATAAGAACAGTTTTAAAATAAGTCAACGTTCTTCAAATTGGAATTTGTCCACCATTCTTTTTATGTGTTCAGCTCCTGAAAGTTGTTAAGGTAGAATGCTGACAAGTTGTGTGGCTGTTCAGGGATGTCTTCTGCCTTAGATACATCTTCTGACGGATGTTTAATACCCTGTTCACCCTTTAACTCCAATAAAATCATGGTAGTCTGTAGCTAGGAAGATGAAGCTGCAAGGTAGTCTGTCTGCTTTGCCAATGTATAGGCTTGTACAAGACACTTTGTAGAAATCTTTAGCTTTGTGGGCCCTGTTTTGGGCTCCTATTTTAAACAAGTAGTTGCTCTCACTCCGATTTTTTCTCTCTCTCCAGAGGTGGGATTTGACAGGTACAAAATGGTGGTGCAGGTCGTGATTGGAGAGCAGAGAGGAGAAGGAGTGAAGTAAGTTTTGAGTCTTCTAATTGTATTTCTATAAATTTTGTCAGGTTTGGGTGTTGTCTGGTTTGGATTCGGGTTGGGTTTTTTTTGTTGGTTGCTTGCTTGCTTGGGTTTTTTCTCCTTTGGAAGCTGTTTCCAAATAGCCTAGGTACAAAGTTCTCTCTGCAGATAATAAAGTGTAAAGCACTTTCTTTTCTCTTTAAGGGGCAAGTGAGAGCTTGGATTGTGCCTGCTTGAATTACCTCGTGATAATTGTCTGTACAGGGGTTCTTAGCAAGCAGAAATGCTGAAAAGCATCTGGGATGAGTGTTGCAGAAAGGCATTTTAAATTGTATTCACGATGAACTAGAGCACACACCCAGTCCATTCTCAAGTTCTGGCTGGAGCACAAGAGCCATGGTAACTCACTTCTGTCTAAAGCCAGATTTCCATTAATTCTTGCTTTGCATTTAATCCCCCCAGGTAGGCATTTAAGAAGTTTATGTTTCTATAATCCCTATACAATACTGTAATGGGAACCAAGCCCAGACAAAGTTCTAGTTTAGCTCAAGATAACTGCAGTTGCACAAAAGAATTCCTCTTCGGCTGCAGTAGTGGGCTGTAGTTTTCCATTACTAGTGAGTAGGGAGAAAATGAAGAACAGCCTACAAGGTTTATGTGCTTTATCTACTGGGCTTATCTTTATTATTGTGGCCGGTGCTCCAGCAGCAGAAGATAAGTGCAGCAGAGCTGTAATCAGATCTGCTGCCTCAGTGTTCTGGAGGTCAGGAAGGAATATATATACCTGCTGCTCAGGCTTTTGTTAGGAATGTCTGTCTGCAGGCAGACTGCTTCAGAAGCAGTGAATGGTTCAATGAAGTGGTCTGATTTGAAAAGTGAAGCCCAGCAACACAGGCTGATAGAGTAATTGGGGAAATTTTCTGATTTGTGGTAGGCAGGAGGCAAGACTGAAGCATGATTGCTAACATCCTTAATGCAAAATACTAGGAAACCAGGGTATTCCAAAGGCAGAGTGGAATACTGGACTGAACAAAAAGCAGAGTAACCCTGAGAGCTATGGTAATAGGGAAAAACTAAATAAATAGAGAGGGGGGGGAAAAGGATTAAATTCAATAGTCTTCTAAAATAAGTTGTATGTCTAGGGACTAAGAACACAACATGCTGCACCACAAACATTAATCCTGTCAGCTGAGACTGACTGGGGCAAGCAGGGAGGTGGGTATTTGCAGCAGGGAAAGGGGAGTGTCAGTGACCCTAGACAAGGCAGCACTGAGGTCTCATTTGTGATATCCTCTTACGATCTGGTTGCTTGTCTTCAAGGTAAAGCTTGGACTGAAGCAGGTGTAGAAAAAGGCCAGCAGATGGTCACAGAATAGAGTATAGATACGTGAGGACTAGAAGAGTTTAGCTCATGGTCTAGTAACACGACGTCTGCCAAGGAACACGATAGCCCCCTATAAATAAGTTGTGGGTATGTACTATGAGGGTACAGGAGGTGAAGGACAAGAACAAATAAGCTATATTAGCCACTGATATGCACAGGCCAGAAGTCAAAGATTCTTAAGCACCACAGCAATGAGGTTTCAAGCCCTGCTGCACAGTGGAGGTGGTTGATAGCTGAGGATTTTCAAGATGAAGCTTGATCCAGATACAGAAGGGGTTACAGCATGTGGTGGAATTTAGCAGTGGGGATCTAGGCTTAGGATTCAGGAAAATTCTTCCCATTTCCTTTATCTTTAAAAGAATCTCAGTTTGATCACTAAGGTCCTTATATGTGAACCTTGCGGGTGATGGCTCAACTCTGTGTCCTTTGTCTAGCATGGCTGCACGATGTTTCTGGGATGCTGACAATGATAGCTGTGCTCATGATGTATTCATGAATGTAAGTATCAACTGGTTTACTATGGGAAAGTGTAAAGCTCCTTGCTTTTGTGTGAGAGGTAGAGCAACCTTAAATATGAAGCAGAAAAAAACAGCCACTAGAAGGAAGGAACCAAAACAACTGAAACAGTATGATTTACGTCCTCATTCACAAAACTTACTTAGATATCATATCCAACATAGTAGAACTTATTTCTTGAATAGGTCATATAGTGCTGCGCAAAAGTCATTATAGTCACACTATTTTACAGTTGGGGAGAGGAATCAGTGGCAAGAAAGTATTTTCTTGCATGGTTTGCTGAACTGTCATTGTGGAATATGACTGGAACCCAGGACTGAGCAAAAGCCAAGGTTTTATTTCTTTCTTTTTTTTTTTCTTACTATTTTAAACTGGCACCTAGACACCTGCGGGTGTGTGGAGGGAGTAAACTGAGGCACTACTGACATTCAGACAGACTGTGCTAAGTTAAACCACAAGGTAGGTGAGTAAGGAACTAATTAAGAGACAATAATGTCCGATCTACCCCAGGACAGGGTTATGCTCTGGTCTAAGTGTTGCCTTAGCTCAGCCTTTCACAGCTAGGCTAGCAAAGAGCTTGCCTGCACTAATGCAGAGCCTTTCTGTTTTCCCCAGGACAGCCTTTTTTGTGTAGCAGCTGCATTTGGCTGCTTCTACTACTGAAGATGGTAAATGTTGCACAGAAGGACAGAGGTGGGGGAGAATACCTTAGGGTATTTTTTGTTCAAGCGCACAAAAGCATAACAAAATAACAGCTCTACAAAGCATGCCTCACACCTGTTCTACACACTACAACATTCCTTCTTCCTTGTGGATATCAGTGTAGCTTCAAGTACAGTGCTATTATGTCCTTTATTTAAATCACCCTTCAATTTTATATAGTGTGTTGGGTTTGTCCTAGAACTGTATTGCCAGTAGCCGTTGTTTTTAAGGCAAACTCAACTTTCATCCTGAAAGGATTCTGTTGCCTTTATGTTTGTTAATTTTCTGAAATGGATTAAATATTTATAAGAAATGTAAGATAATAAAATCTATGTATTTAGTATTTCCTGTCCTTGTGTTGACCTTGCCATTTCCACTATTTCTCCTTCCACTCTACAAGATGCACTAGCCTGGATGATTTGTCTGTGCTTCTCAGATGAGCATTTTCTGAGGATTCTCTGTAAATTAACCCATAAAGCTGACCTCTTATTCTGGTTATCCAGATTTGTTCCTGTGACTCCCATAACAACTGGGCTGTGAATCCCAGCTGAGTCACATGAGATGGTATTAACTGATAGGGAGATAAGGTATTTGGGACATCAGGTCAGGCCACCAGTCTGCATACCTCATGACTACTAAACTCCTCCCTCTTGTAACTCCTCATTAATTTGGTGCAACTTGTTAGAACTCCAGAAAAGAGCAGTAGAAACAGCTGTTGTATATCTTAAAAGGAGTGCTGAAGCCTCTCATCTCTCCAAATGTTAGAAGACAGGCTCAGTTCCTGAGAGCAGGTTCCATCAGATCATATCTCTGTTGGAAGAGGATGAGTGGCTCTGTGGTGATGCCCTTTCTCTTTGTGGTGACCAAGCATCAAGCACAGATGAACCATTTCAATGGCATGAATAGCTTTTACAGTGCTGAAGTGGGGCGAGGTGAATCCTGAACCCTACCCTTACTGATTGTTGGGCCCAAAACGCGCTCTACCCACGCAGCTTGGGAAGCAGGGGAGTAACAAGCTACGATGCACCTTTTAGAACCACTCTTTCACTCCAACACTGGAGGCAGCATAGTCCTCTTTTTCGGTGATGTTTGTTTGAACGTGGCTTCCTCTCCTTTTTCGCTGGTGGGAAATAGGGGATGCTTATACGATACCACCATGGCCCAGAGCAGTTCGGGCTGCTCTAGGGGTGCTTTGCTCCCTCCTTTCACGATCCCCAGAATTTACATTGGGCACATGAAGGGCCGCGGGGCGAGGCTGTGGGTGGCAGCAGCAAATCTCCGCTGGCCCTTCTCCGCTCCTGGCCCCCGGTGCGAGCCTGGGGCATCCGACACGGACGAGGCCAGCGCCGGGGTGGGGGGGGGTGGTGTTGTGAGCCGGAACGGAGGTTCCAGGCGCAGTTTCCCCCGGTGCGGCTTCCCGGAGCGCGGCCGGTCCCTTCCTGCTGCCCCGGGCCGACACGCAGCGGCTCCACCCGCAGCCCCGTTGGCGTTGGCGGGAGCTGGGCGGGGCCGGCGCCGTGAGCGGCTCCGGCGGCCGGGCCGGGCCGGGCCGGGCCTTGCTTGGCCGTACAGCGGCGGAGCGTGCGGACGGTGGCTCGCTGGTAGGTGGCGGCGGCCGGGACTGTATGCACCGGTGGCATGTAGCGGGCCCGGGGGCTCTGGGGTGGCTGCAGGGTCTGTCGCTGGGGGGGGAGCGCGGGGGACAGGGTGCTTGCTGTGGGACCAGAGGAGTGCCCGTCATGGGGGCTGGAGGCAGGTGGGGGGTGCCTGTCTGTGCCCTGCAGGGTCAGTGGGGACGTGTTTCCAGCTTAGTGGCTAGGCATGGGGCAGCCCTGCCTGGGCTAGCTGTAGGGCAAGGGGGCTCTGGGAGGTGCTGCTTGGTAGGGACGTGGGGTGTTTGGCTTTGGGGGCAGTGTCTGCTGGGGCGGGTCGTGGTGCGCCGCTTCTCCTTGGAGGGAGCTTAGGGAGAGTCTGGAACCCGGACACAGTGCTCGGGGAGCGGCAGACTGGGGGGGACATCCCCTGGGATGAAGCCAAGGGGCTGTGCTGGGGAGGGAGGAGCAGAATGACAAAGAGGTGGCCCTGGCTGCGGAGAGGGAAGGTGTGACCGAGCTGCTGCGCAAGCACACGTCCTCTCTAACTCCCTTTTTTTGTGTCCACCGGAGTCCTGGCTGCACTGATTAATGGTTTTGTAATTAAAGTCTGCTGGAATTCTGAGAGCTGCCATGCTCCTCAGCGGCCCTTGTGCGCTGTGGAGGGAGGGGCAGGATGCTGCAGGTGGTCTTCTCTCCTCCGTTCCCACGCTGTGCGTTTACAGCACCAGGTCCATAGTGTGAGGCCAGCGTGTGGTCAGAAGCAAGTACTGCTGGGTTTCTATCTGCAGGACGCCCGGACCTGAGCACAGCCACTGTATTTGCTTTGAAATTAAGATGACAAACACCTGTGCTTTATTTCCTGAAGGAATTTGCTGTACTTACAGAATTATTTCAGTGTATGACTTGGAAGTTTCCTGGTTCAAGATCTAGATTATAATTATCTTGAAATTACTGTAGGGTGAGCCACAAAAAATAATTGTTGGAGCAAGGGCTTGGTATTAATGTGTAAGCTTACTAAAGGAGTTTGCTTCCTGAAATCACAAAAGGCTCCGTTAAACCCAAAAAACAAATCATAGATGCAACTCAACACAAAAAACTGATGCAAAAGTCAGTACAGAATTACCAATCATCCCTGTACTGGGTAGGCTCTGAATCCTCTCTGATACTCTGCATAAACCCTCCTCTTGCTTCTTTGCTAGCCACAGCAGAGGCTTTGTCACATGCTGGGACACTCAGTGCCTCAGGTTATCTTATACCCAGAATGGCTGCAAATTCATGAAGAAGGTCTTGCCACAAGGTTCTCTTTTGTGTGTGTATTTCGTAGCAGCTCTGCCTAGGTGGTCGTGCTGCACTGTTTTCAGCTGTGGGATTAGAATTGTCTTAAGCCATTGGGAACTTTGTTGGTGAACAGCAGCATCTTTTCACCAACTGCAGGACGTAGGTACCAGATCTCTCTGCTTGAAAAGATATTATCAACCTGCCTGCATCAGGAGAGGATGCAAGGCTTGGGGGTTTGTTTTAGCGAGTATAGCAAAGATATGTGCCTGGATGCCATTGTATACCGGTGTAAGGCACTGGCTGAACTAGAATCCCTTTTCTATGTTCATGTGGCTATTAATATGCTGCAAGATAGATGCTTTTGCTCAGCCAGAGTAGCTGAAGCAGCCTATGTTATAACTGTAGACAGGAATCTGCCTACCAGATCCTGCAGTAACCTTTATAGAAAGGGGCTTGAGGACTTAGGCTGTGTAGGTAGAGCAGATGCAGGCTGGGACACAGCCATTAGCACTCAGTTTTTAAGCAGATATTACTACTCTGAAGATTGGGGCAGAGCTGGGCCTGGCAAGCTTGGGCTGGGAATGAAGTTGCCTTGGAGATTGGGCAAGATTTTTAAGCACGAGTTGAAGAGAAATCTGTGATGAGTCTTCTGTCATTAACCTCTTCTGAGTCTTTCTGTCTACAGCAGACCTCTACAGGGATACACACCAGTAAGTTAATCGTAAACTTGGGGTGGGAGGTGGGAGAGAACAAAGGGAAAGGGATTCTCTTCTCCACTTTATGGAGGAATGCAGGGTCATTTTGGTACTATACAGCCTGTCAGGGGAATTGCCTGAGCGACAGGACTTGCTCCTTTTCCCTGAAGCTCTCACTTTCGTGCTCCCCATGTGTCAAGGCAATTCTCTGCCAGACAGCTGGCAAAGTGCAAAGTTTAGTAGTATTTGCCTGCAGATGAGTCAGCAGAAGAGAAATAGCTTGCTCCTGTAAAGTGGAGTGATCTTGTAGGCAAAGCAGCACATGACAGTCACATCTGATGTGCCAACACCTTCCAAGTTCAGAGGGACGATAGGAGAGCCTGGGAACTGTGGGTGTCAAGGGGCCTTGGAGGTCCAGCTTGCCAGTCTTGTGCTGACTTGGATTGGGGTGGGAAATGCAGCAGCCTTGAGCCAGAGTGTTTACGGAATTGTTGCAGCCAGGTCTTGTTTTGCACAGGCTTTAGAATTTAAGTAGCAGGATTGTTTTTGCCTTGGCATGTAAATCTGCAAGTGAAAAGCAGTGGCAGAAGAAATCTCAACTACTGCATGTAGATTTGCAGATAATATTCTTCAATAAATTCCTTGGGACCTGAGAACACAAAGAATGCATATGGGCTGGGTCCTCACGTCATCAGTGTGGTTAGGGTGCAAAAGTATGCAGGAATTATCTGTTTCTCCAATGTAGTGCAAGGCACACAGTTCTCTGACACCTCCAAAGCTAAACAAAACTGTCCATGAAGATGCAGACAGCGAGATAAGGCTTTGGTGAACAAGAAGGTTTGCCACACCTACTCTGACCTTTTCCATCTGCCAGCGGTGTTAATTGCAGTGTTGTTGTTAAATTCCAGCTCAGATGCTGATGTAGTTAACTCACCCTAGAGGAGCTGTAAATTCTTTCCCTGCTTTTCCCTATTATTTTTTTTTCCTTTGTGGTAACCAATGCTTGTCCTTTCTTTCCTTGCAGAAGTGGCTGCATTTCAGTGGGACTCTGACTCCTTGACAGGGAGAGCAACTCCTCCCATCTGGCAGTCGGCTGGGCCTCGGGGAGCTGATACAACTCTCTTGAGGTGAGCTAGCTGGCATCTTGAGGTGGTGCAAGGCCCTGCTTTGACACAGGGTATACACCAAAGAAGTTTCAGAAGCAAACCCCTGTGTTTTGTCAAGTGCTGCAGAGATTTGCTTGTGGCTTTCCCGAGTGGAGCCCTTCCAGCCTTGCTCCTCACAAGCAGTTTCTGGTATTCAGTAATGCAGGAGGGTGATGCCTTAAACAAAATAGAACGATGTTAATATTTTATAGCAGGGCTCTTTCTTCTGGTTATGCCTGGGGTTTGTCTTGGCTTTTTTTCAGAATGAGCTTTGAGAGTTACCTTCTCTTCCTCCTTCCCATCTGCTGTAAATGTAATTAATTTTAGAACAGTCAGTGTTTTGTGCATTTAGGGAAGCAGAGCTGTGTGCTCATGCGTTAAGCTCAGCTACAGATGTTGCATCCCATTGTTAGTAAGTGTTTGGGCTGCTATTTTAGTCTCTTGGCCAAAATGAAACATTCCAAGATTAATAGCTTTGTAGCATCAAGGTATGGTTTATTTTTAAAAACAATGTGTTCCCGGTTTTTAATGAAGACAGGTTTGGTGCTGAGAGGGCTAACATGCTAACCACAGGATAGTTTTAAAGCTCTCATTTAAAGAGGAATGATAAAATTGTTTAATTTCTGCATTAATTTGAGCAATTAGCAGAGCTGTGTCACTCATGAGATGCCCAGCCCAGCTCTCCAGACACCTCAGAGGCTCCTTCAGTAACATCTAGCCTGTAAGATCAGAGCAGAGCATATTTGCTCCATCCTCGAAGCAGGTTTCTCCTTTGGTACATCAGGTGTTGCTGGTGCTGGGTGGTTGGTGCTGTCTGACCACTGCCATTTATTTGATACAAAGAAAATCCATTAACTTAAACTATTGCTTGTCATCATTTGACGAGGTATACCGTGAGAACTGCAAAGGTGAATTAGGGTGGAGAGAAACTAGTTGGGTGTGGGAAGAAGCTGTTGGAGATCTTTCCTGGGCTCGGACAGTGGTGCTGTACATCAGCATAAAGCATGGTGTTGCCCTGTGCTGTAACTTGCTTTGGCTGTGAGCTCTGCACCCAGCAGCAAGATGCTGGCAATAACTCAGTACAATGTAGTTGTGTGCAGGGAGGTCTGGTTGCTCTGATATGCCAAGCTAATCCAGGAAGAGCTTCACCTGTTCGCACATGGAGGCTGCTATGTCTGTGCTTCAGCACCAGAGCTTCTGCCAGGGCTTTTTAGTGTTCTGATGGACAGTGGTTCTGATTAAATGTGTTCAGCACTTCAACAGACCTTTTAATTCTCTCCAAAGGGAAGGAAAGCAAGTGTTCAGAGGCCAAAAGGTGACTTGAAGCACAGTGAAATTACTTTGACCAACTAACAACAAAATCTGCTGCTGTTTCTCCCCACTGTTTCCATAAACGCTGGGGTTTCTTGAACCAGAGACAGAGGCCTGCTGCTTTTTGTGAGCTAGATGGTTTCTGCTAGGACCATGGTGGTGAAGTAAACAACTGATACAGAGTGTGCTTGCGAGAATGGCACTTTGCAAAACCTAGGAATTGCTTGTTTCATACCCTTTGTTTTCACAGAGGCACTCTGGAAGCTGCTGCATTTATAGCACAAATCTTGCCTGAAAGTTAAGCGTTTGTGAAGTATTTTTGTTTTCTCCCCAGTATTGTTTTGGCTTCCCATTCACCTAAGATTCTCTTTTCCTGTTCTCAGTGCATTGTGCTAGGTCTAGCAGAGCTGTCTGGGATACTTAGATGTATTTACCCCAAAACTAGTTCAGTTGTGTCTGGTCCTAACACTGTTCCTAAGGTATCATCTACTTGATGGTGGGGAGATTGGTATGTTCACGTGTTACTAAACTGCATTTGACTCTGTACTTAGGAACATTCCTTAACCTGGAGTAATTTGCACTTGAGTAAGTCTGATCACTAAATCTGCTTCTTAACAGCTCTCTTTCACAAAGCCTACCTTTCTTGGTTGCTGAACGGTAGAGCTTTGCTCAGTTGACCTTACTGAGGACAGTTCCAGCTTGTCCCAAGCAGGAATGCTCAGCAGTAACGCTCTGCTGAGGAGAAGGGTGGTGTTCAGAGGGACATTGCCCTGTCTTATACCTCCTACTTGCCCCACCTAACGTGTTCCAGAACACCCACTGCATATGGGTGGGGAGACGTTTTAAATTCCACACGGCTCTTATTATTAGGGTGTTGAGGCACACACGTAAGCATCATTCCTGGGCAAAGGGGTCACGCTGCTCTCAGGAACAGGTCAGAACTGCCAGTTGCTGCCGGAGAGCTCCATACTTCAAGTGAGCCACAAAGATAATGCTGCTCTTTAGTTATAAACTTTGAAAATGTAGCACCCATTTCTAACTCCTGCAGCAACTGAAAAGGGAATGTTTGCTGCCATGTCTTTCTATAAATCCTGAGTTTTGCTTCAGCTGCATGGAGTGCTGGGCTTCCTAATGCTCCAGGGCCCTTTTGGGAAGGTGCAATGACTCCAGCTCAGAAGCACAGATAGCTGTCACGATTATCCCAAACTGGTGGTCTGTTGGTTCATCACAGAAGCAGTTCAACTGAACCACTGCTAATTACAACCTGGTACATAAAGTGCCAGCAGTAAGTGTGCCCCTCATGTGGTATCAGCATCTGCTTCACCATCAGCTGAGTCACCACTGCACAGGGGACAAGAGGGCAGCACAGTGGCAGCCATCCCAAGGTGAGCCATTCTCACTGGGGAGCTGCAGCGTGGTCTTACACAAGCAAAAAAGCAAACAGCAAGCTGGGTAGTTATTGAAGTTATGAGCATGGGTTGCACCCCTTCCCTTGCCCTTACCCTGCTGCTTAAACCTGCTTCTTCCTCCCATCAGGACTGTGCAGGGATGCAGCACACCCACCAACTGTCTTGATGGGTGGGTAGGGGACACAGAAGGTTAGAAGAGTGTTTGTATTCATCAAAATGAGAGCTAGGGGAGGGCTGAATACAGACTAGGCATGCCTTAATCCTTAGGTTGCTTTTGAGATGCTAAAATAGTATAATTAGCACTGTAGTAATGATTTATAATTTGCATTGAAACTCTTATTCGAGTTTCTCTCCAGCCAGCTGGCTGCTGCACACTTCTCTCCGCAGAACAGCTCCAAGTTGCATTAAATGATTCAGTATTCCCACCAGGCACTGTTTGTCAAGCCTTGGCAGCTGATGCCAAATACAACTGGCTGAGCCCCTTGTTAGGTGGCTGTGTCTTTGCGCTGACCTTCTGTACACTGTGCCTGCTGTCGACTGATTCTGCTTTGGAAGAGCTGAGACTTATTTTTACTATTTTTTCTCCCTCTCTCCTTCATTTTGTTCCAGTTCTTACTGGCTGTGCTTGGCAAGATGGAGCCGCCGACCTCCTCCAGGCTGAATTCCCGTAAGAGAAGAAAAGATGGATCTGGCCCCAATGGGGCAACAGAGCTGGATGGAATCCCTCCAAAAATGTCCCGGCGCTCACTCGTAAGTAAGCGGAGATAGGAGCTTTAGGTGCCTGCACGATTAGGACATTGCCCTGTAACAGCAGAAAGATAAATGTGATGGTTTTTCTGCAGGGGGTAGGAGAGAAGCAAATGACAGTAGCTATCCTTCTTGCAAAGCCAGTTTAAAGTCCTCCTTTGTTCATATTAATAACATACTTACAATGTGGGCTTAAATTAGGCCTAAGGAAAGTGTCACTAAGCTGCTTTTCTGGTGTGTCTAGCTTGTTTATACTCACTTAAGCTGAACCTGAACAGGCATGAATATAGATATTCATGGAGAAGTAAGCATTCATTTCTCACAAGTGGGTTTTCTTAAGTGACACAGCAGGAGGGAGAAATGCTCCAAACAAGTATGTAACAACCCATGCACCTTGCAGAAAGCAGTATTGTTCAAGTCAGAGAACTGTCTGAGTGTCTGTAAGCACCTACAGAAGCAGTCTATTGAGTTCACGCTCTGAAACACCCAGAAGATAACTGCTCTTGGTCTGGCAGGAGACTGCATTTATGTTGCTGGTATTTTGAGGGCATTCAGGAAAATTTATTTGTCTAGATCAACCTTGGGACAGCTTTAGCAAGCTAAAGCCACTGGGGTCTCTTCTAAAAGGGGTCTGTGCCAGTTAGCACTGACTTTAAGTTGTCCTTGCCACAATATTGTGATGATAGACTTTTTACAGCTCTTTTCTGCCCTGTTCCTGGATCTGTCCTCTGTATCATGTGTGCTCCAATTGCTCTCACCTTATCTATGTCTAAAGCCAGCTACCATCCCTGCCACGTCACACTGGGGTCGTAGTCCTTGGCAAAACAGGGTGATGTGTTCCAGCTTTCCTCTTTGATAACAATGTTTTGCTCTTCTCAGGAGTACTTCAGTCCTGTCCCAGAGCTTTTGGCAGGTGGCAGCAAAGCAAGAGCAGCACCAACATTGAGAACTGGGGAGGCAAGCATTGGGAAAGGAGGCTCGAGTTGTTGCATGACTTCTCTCTCAGAGCCATAATATCCTTAACTGTTGTCAGAACCCAGTGCATGTATTTGATCAAGGAAGGAGAAGTGTGCAGGTTGTTCCGTGGGAATTACTTGTTCTTCAAGTTGGTGTCTGTCCTGTGTTAGAAAGAAAGCATCTGTCCATGAACAGCACACAGTAAATAGTATCTAGCCACTTTCTAAACTTTCTGCTAGTGCAGACCTCCTGAGGAAAGATTATTTTGTTCTTTCTTTCATGTAAGATTTATTTATCATAGCAAGAGTAATGGTTTCACCTAACTGTGACATTACCTTGAAGCCTTTACCACTCCCAGCTCAACAGCTGGCTAGCAGAGTGTTCTCCTGGAGCAGCGGGGCTCAGCAGCAGATGGTGGTAGCAAGCCTGCTGACGCATAAGCCTGTCCTGTTGTGCACATCAAGTTGAGTCCTGGCCCTTGCAGGTGCTGTGGAGGAAGGCAAGACTCTGGCAGGGCCTTTTGAGGACATTTCTCTGTGATCATCTGATAATTTTGGTGGGGATTTTGGGTTTTTATGCTTTTATTCCTGGTTTCATACCAGGTATGTGCCAACCAAATGCGAAGAATCTGTTTTATTCACAAGTCCCAGATATGATGGCAGTGATGAAAGCAGACACATGGCAGGCATTACCTAACGGTAAAGATCCTAGTAGAGGAGGTGCTGCATGAAATGCGGGTACTAGAGCCTCGGTAAATTACAGGAGATTTTCAGCAGTATCAGTTTGCTTGAATGTAGTGGTCAGTGGTTGCTTTCCTGTGAGCTTCACTTTGAGCACTCTAATGAGGAATGACATTAGCAGTAATAGCAGTGGTCATTCTGGTTGTAGTCGTGCTGAGCACCATGGCAGGATGCTGCAATGGGACAGGAGGTCAGAGAGGAAATGGCTCATTAGCTTTTTGCAGCTTGTAGGTGTCATTGTAATGATCTGCAAGCTAGTTTCCTAGTCTTCTGGCTTGAGAAAAAGACATCCATTGCTGCCCCATACCTTCTGGCTAGAAGGAAATGGGACTGTTTGTTCTGTTATGGGAGGGGCAGATGTTTTCCTTCAGAGGAGACCAGAAATTATACCTGGACTCCAGCTGCTGATTGAACAAGCTAGCAGATTAGAAGAGTTTTCCTGCATCAGTTGTAGATACTCAGTTGTAGTATCCACAGTTGTAGATAGCTGCAGCAGTTTTAGATGCCACAGATTGAGGTCAGTCTCTCACTGTGTATGGCTCAGAAATGGGTGATGATACACATGTTCCCTGGGAATTAGTGCTGCTGTTGGTATTGCTCTTCTGCTTGTTCATATAATCAAATCGAGGAGCTGTTACAGTTTGTACATCACAGCACAAGCACTCAGGCACAGCAAAGTGATGGTCTTGCCTGGGTTGGCATAGCTGTCGCTGCTACAGTGAGGTTTGATGAAGCTTGGCTTACGCTGCTGTGAACTGGTGTTTGTCTGGTTTACCAGCTGCAGATCTGAGCCTTCTGTTTTCTTGGGTCCAGTGTGACTGCCATCTTAACTTCACTTTTCTCTCTCTCTGTTTCTCTCTAAACTCAGGCTGATCATCCTGCAGGGGTGTTTCGAGGTTTAACACCAATAGTCTTTTAGTACATGTGTTTGAATTGTGCACGGTGAGACATAGCAAGTCACTTGGTGATTAGGACACTGCAGTGGCAGTGCTGCTGCTACATACTGCATTCACCTTTGCATTCTCACATGTAACCTTCTCTGGCTATTTAGGGACTGAGGGAACCGGCTCCGTTCTCAGATGAAGTGGAAATCGATTACAGCAAGCCATACATCAGAGTAACATATGAAGAAGCAATGAGAGGGACGCCTTGTAAGTAAAAAAGCAGAAAAACAGACTGGAAGGGAATTGTGTAAATGTTGGAGGTGGATGCAGGTATGATTGTGATATCTCTGAGACCAAACCAACCTGTGTGTCAGACCAGCTTTCTGGTCAGTGATTTAGTTAATGCTTTGGTGATGAGGTAGCTGTCCCCATGTGAAATTGGTCTGCCAGTACTGCTGAAATTGGAGCTCGTGTGTGAGGAGCCATACCTTCACCAGTAAGACTGATGCAAACAGGTTTTTGTGGTTTAGCTCTTCTGTGCCACTGGCAGCTACAGAATCATATCAGAGCTGAACACTTTTCTGTATTACTTTGACGCAGCTTAAAGTTAAGCACTTTAAAAGTCATCTTTTCTGAAACTCGAAAAGGGTAGACAAAACTAACATACGCCTTTTTTCCAGAATGTTCCATTGTAGGCTGGCTTTGAATTAAAGTCAGTGTCCTTAAACACAGTAGGCCAGCCCCAGAACAAGAACCTATCCTTTTATTCTCTAAACCAGGCTGGGAGCAGCTGTTCTCTTTGCAAGTCTAAAAGGAAGGCAGAGGCAGAGCTGACTCCTGAAGAATGGCTGCCCTCCTGTCAGAAAGTGCAGACAGTACTGTGTTATTTGGCCTCTCTGTTGTGTCTACAGAGACAATAAAAATGCTGTACTACCTACCTGACTGCTGATGAGACCTGGCAGTGGTTTCTTGCAGAGGTTCTGGAAATCCAATGCACATTTATTTCCCGGCTGAAAATCTTCAGAGCCAGCCTAAGGTCTCTGATTTCAGTAGTGGTGGCTCTCCTGCCTGCTAAAACTAAAATACACTGCACACTTCCTTGTTGCCATTTACGCCTGTGCTCAGGAACTGTAGCAGCTGCAGGTATGGAGGAAAAGAGAAGTATGTGCCTGCCAGTTTACAGAACATTATTTTACTTTCATAAAGGCCTGCCAGGACCAGCCTCCTCCTGGCATATAGAAGGCTTTTGCAGTCTCTCATCTCCAGATCCTTGGCTCTCCAAAGCCTCCTGGCATCTTTAGTGAGGTGGATTTGCTGAAAAGGGATCGAAAGAGGCTGTCCTCAGAGTGACTCATCTGTTTAGCTTGAGCTTAACAACCTTACTTTTGTGTTTTCCTTAAGTAGTCAGGCTGAGTTTTTGGGTTGAGCTTACACTTGATGGTCTGAGGAAGCTGATGATAGTGGTGGGGATTTAGAGCAACCTGGTCCACCAGCCAGACTGGTAGCTGCAGCAGTGGCTGCAGAGGAGAAAGCTGAACTGTTCTTGAGATGTTATCCTGACTGCCAGGGGGGAACATTTGGGCCAGTTCCTCTCTGGTAGCTCCCTGGTGTGCAAAAAATTAATGCTGTGCTTAGATTTCCATAGGATGGAGATGTTCAGGGTTTGCTTTCACTTGGTCTCCCTTGAACTTGGTTCAGTGAATATGTGGTAGGCTTTGAGTCTGTCTTTGAACATGGTTGTATGTCAACTGAGATGTGATTGTTTACATGTGGAAAGGCAGAGTGCCAGCCATTGCTCTTTACAGACTTTTCCTGGCCACAGCTCTGCATTCTACCACTTTTCTGCAACATCCCCAGGAGTTTTAGAAGGTCCCCAAATGTGGCCATGAGCAGCAGCTGCTTCTGCAAGCAGGAATCTTCATAAATGTCTCTCTGTCCCTTTGGCACAGTGGATCGCCCTGTCAGAGTTTATGCCGATGGAATATTTGATTTGTTTCACTCTGGACATGCCCGGGCCTTGATGCAAGCAAAGAACCTCTTCCCAAACACATACCTCATTGTTGGAGGTAAGGAGTGACCTTGTTGACTTTGGCTGTCATAGTACGGTTTACCTCCATCTGTGGTTATGCAGATGGCATAGTAGAGTTTTTGTCTTTATGGCCTCACTGGCCAGAAAGCAGCTCTCAGTGCAGCCATGTTGTTGGAGTCTTACTGCAATATGTTGAGAGTTGGGTATGTCCACAGAAAGATATCCTGTACAAAATGAGTGGGTAAGGAAAAGATTTCTTTGATCACACTGTGACAGATACTGGTGAATTGCACATCCGAGTATCAAAATATATTAGGGACAATTGAGCATCTGCCTCTTGAATTAGACAGCTAAAGAATGACTAGCAGTCCCTCCATGGCTGGTTGAGCTTTGTGTTGCCTGTATCATGGTGTATGTCACTTCCCCACTCCAGCTCTTTGCTGGGGATTTTTGTGGCTAAACCCTAACAGGTCCCACTAGGAGCTTGGAGATCACGGTTTTCTGGGCACATGGCCATGGAAGACAGTGAGGCCCCATTTCTCCAAATAAAAGTTCCCTACTTTGTCTGTTCAAAGGTCTTTATATGCTGCCAGGAATATCCTGCTTGACTGCCTGAGGGGATCTGGAAGAGGTGTTTCAGCCAGGCCTCCTTCAGGAATATAACAAGGAAAAGAGAAACTTTTTTTCTGGCTGCTGTAGTATACTGGCCTCTGTGCCCATGACTTCACTTAAAGACTGTGTGTTGTCTATCAGGAGGTGACCTCTGGTCAGGATACCTAATGACGTTAAAGTATCAGAGTTGAGAATACCTTTAACTGCTTTTCTCAACAACTGTTAGCTTCCTGAAGCAAATTGAAACCCTGATCCTGCAATAGCGTGATCATAACATCTTTGCGTGGTTTGTTTCCTTACCACTCACTGCTGAGGGCATTTTTATAGTGGTACTTCTGCATTTTTTGTGCATGCTGTAGTAGTGTCTGGAAGGGGAAGGGAGGGAGTAGAGCTGAGATAGTCGATACAACCTACAAAATGCACTGAGCTTAGAAATCTTGCAGATGGAAAGATATCCCCATGTACATAAGTGGTGTACCTCAAACAGGATCAAACTATTAATATTCTAATGTAGCAAGGTGTGTAACCATGTTCTCTGCCTTTGGGAGACTGGTGAGGAGGTGGAGGGCAATGAACTGCTCCCCTTGAACTAGGAACTGAGACAAGAGGCAACAGCCCAGTGGACGTTAGCTCCAAGCTGGGAGCAATCTCACCCGCTCTTTATCATCTGTTTGTCCAGAGCATAAATACATCCAATGCCAGTGAGACTGCTAATGCCTTGTTTACTTTTGAGTCTGATAACCAAATAAAACTCCCTCTTCAATGTCTTACATTGCAGTTTTTTAAGGGGTTTTACTTTTAATTTCTCATAGAACATAAGTAAGCTAACTTGATTTGCTGTGAGCTCACCCTTTGTTTTAATACAACTTTCCAAGACTGAGACTGTGGTGTGGCATTTTATGAAATCAGACGCTTTGGCAGTGGGCTTTATTCATGGGCTTCAGTTTCCAAGCCTGAGACATCCACAGGTTAAAAAGCAGATTTCTGCCCAATAGGCCCCCAGGTGTCATTTCATACAGGAGAGTTGTCTTCTGTATTAGCTAAGAGTTCTACAGACCTTGAGGGCTTTGCATGTAGGAAAATTCAGCTTGGGCAGAAATACCCCAAACAGCCTTCCTAGAACTGCTCAGGAGCTAAGTTCCCTGCACTGCTCACTGGTTTTGGTGCTTTGTGGCTGGGTTTGAAACTGCCAGCGCACTCCATCAACCTGCCAAAACCAGGCTGGCATTGCCTGGTGTAGCAGGAGTATGCGCAAGGTCTTTTTACAGTAAAGCACTGGGGTAAGTACTTCAGGCTCACTCTTCTCTGCCTGTTTCTTCAGTCTGCAGTGACGAGCTAACCCATAACTTCAAGGGCTTCACAGTAATGAATGAAAATGAGCGGTATGACGCTGTGCAGCACTGTCGCTATGTGGATGAAGTGGTGAGAAATGCGCCATGGACGCTTACCCCCGAGTTCCTGGCAGAGCACAGGGTAATTTGTGACATCTGATCTGTTCTGTATTTTGATTAGCCTCTGTGCTGGCTGTTTATAGCAAGAATTTATCCATGGGGGTGACCTCTGCCTGAGCAACCTGTTTCTGTTGGAATCCTTAAATAGGGAACTAACGGGGTTATGGGAATCAAGTGGGCTTCTTGAAAGCATAGAAGCATCTGCTGAGCTGACAGGTAGTGTTAAAATAAGGTAGAGATATTTCTGAAGAGTGTCTGGTCCAACTCTTCTCACAGCAGGAGCAACTCGGATTTACATCAGCTTCCCTGCAGCAGGAAACCAAGCAAGCTGTATTGAGAGTCTTTTATCAGTCAGTAAGATAAAGTGAAAAGAGTCTGTAACATCTGTTGAACTGCTTTGTGGCATGAAGGAGTCTCCAGGGAAGTTTGCTTAGTTTTTTAACCTTCTTAGCATTAACAAGCCATTTCTCTGTGGAGCTTAAAACAGCTGTGTCCTTAGTCCCAGCCTTTCGTGTCTGGTGTGTGCTTACAATTGGTATGCAATTACCATTGAGAACTTGGGGCTGCTCTGTGTTGCTTTTTAACACAGGAAAGCACCTTGCTATTCTCTGTCACACCCCTGCATTGAGGTGTTGAGCAAAAAGTTACCATCCTTTGGCAGAAAGCAGGATAAAATGTTGCTTTCTTAACTTTCAGATCGACTTTGTTGCACACGATGACATCCCCTATTCTTCTGCTGGCAGTGATGATGTTTATAAGCATATAAAAGAAGCAGGTGGGTCTGGGCCAGATTCTCCAGGGCTTTCTGTCAAAGGTCTGCTGTAGTCTCTTCTATGCCCCTATATGGCAGGAATATGCCTGGGAAAGTGGCAGTGCTCTCCTGAGAACAAGGTCCACCCGGGAGGGTGGGAAGAAGCCCAGCTTTGGGCCCTACTTCATAGGTGACTGTTCCATGTTCCATATGCCGTGGATTATAGTTAGGAGTTTTTAAACCTGCTAATATGAAAAGCCTTTCATTAGAAGACATGGTATTTTGACAGGGTTTTGAGATGCTTTGATCTTACTTAGGTCTTCCTCATAGTCCCAGAAAGAAAGACCCCAGTATTGTGCATTCAAGGGCAAAGATGTGGTGGTGTGAGAACAGTTAGGAAGTGAGCTCTTGATAGGAGAGATTATTCTCTAATAGAGGTGGCAGCAGCTCTTTTGCCATGTGTCTTGCTACAGCTGTCCTGGGTCCTGTTCCCCAACTTTAGGTATGTTTGCGCCAACTCAGAGGACTGAGGGGATCTCAACATCTGATATCATCACCAGGATCGTGCGGGACTATGATGTTTATGCCAGACGGAACCTGCAGCGGGGTTACACAGCTAAAGAACTCAATGTCAGCTTCATAAACGTGAGTTGCAGTGTCTCTCACCACAAGCTGCGTGAAGCAGAATCTTAGAGAGTGTGGAGATGTAGAGTCTGTTTAGTGGTATCACAATCCTGACACTTGCCAGTAAAGGGACAATATGCAGAGCTAAACAGATGCACCAAACCAGTGTCTGTGGAGTAGAAATTAAGATGACTTCTGCCCCTGGAACTGCCTCAGGGACCCACCCAGAGGAACTGGGGTTTTGCTAATACTGCTCCATTGTCAGAAATGTCTGTGTGATGTTTTACCTGTTGAAAGAGCTGGAGACAGGGTGCGTGGTGAAATATGTGTTTTCTTGAGTTGAATGAAGCGTGCGTTGTTCTTGGCAGCAGCTGCTGTGTGTCATCTCTCTCCCACCTTCCTAAGGTAGAGTCATTTGTTAGGATGAAATCTGGTCCCATCCTAGCTGTACTATTCCCTTCCTGGAGCTCTTTCAGGAGCTGCAGTGCTTGGGTAGGGGAGAAGGATATCCTCTGATCCTGTGCTGAGCAGCTCTAGTCCTCAATATACAAAGAATACAAAGTAGAAGGCACTCTGATGTTGGATGTAAAGTAGTAAATGTTTTTGGGGTTTTATTTTTATCATTCAGATACTATGCCTTTTAAAAAAAACAACAATCAAATACAAAAACAAAACAGGAGAGATAATGGCTGCTTGGCCTCTCTTTGGCATGTAACCCTGCCTCTGTTTAAAAACACCCAGTAAAAACACTTGTGCCATCATCATATGCAGAAAGACCTACAGCAGGTCACTTGAGTCTAATCGGTATATTGTATAAATATTTCCCTCTTCCATGTACTCCTATTAGATAGTGCTAATCTCTGGATTTAGTCTCAGTGTGTACCTCTCACAAAGCATCTCACAGCCCCGCTATGTTTGCCATTTAGTCTAGGGAAGAAGTGTCACTGAGGTGAAGAAGTGTCACAAGACTAATGGAGATGCTGAGTCTTAAGCAGCAGTTCAGTGTAATAACACAGAGCAGAGGTGGTCACCACTCCCTCAGATCTGCTGAGCTGTATTCTGATCCAACACTTACTGTACAGGAGAAGAAATATCACCTCCAGGAGCGTGTGGATAAGGTGAAAAAGAGGGTGAAGGACGTAGAGGAGAAGTCAAAGGAATTCGTCCAGAAAGTGGAGGAGAAGAGTATTGATCTCATTCAGAAGTGGGAAGAGAAGTCCCGGGAGTTCATTGGCAATTTCCTGGAGATGTTTGGTCCAGAAGGTGCATTGGTAAGGAGCTGCTCTGGGAAAAGGGGATTTTGGAGAGCTTGTCAGTTATTACAGGGCTTGCGGAGCCCAAGGTCTGCAAACAAAGGTTCACAGTTTGTTGCAGTGCTCAGTGTGCTGCCAGTCTGCAAACAGCTTGTCCCAGGCTTTGGCAGTCTGTTTACAGGGAGCCTTCACCTTTTCCAATTGGGTAATGCCAGTTACAATTGTAATACAAAAAGTCCCTGTATCCCACAAGCTAGCCTGTAAACTCCAGCTTGTGTCCTACGGGCCACTGAGCAGCCAAGAGATTGGTGGTCACTTTGTCATTGGTCTAGGATGAGTCTAAAGCTACTTTTTTATGCCAGACTCTCCTGTACAGCTGGGTAAATATTACAGGCACTTCATGTTAGAAGTGCTAGAAGATTGGTGATGATTACACTATATATGGTTTCTGAAGTCTGGAGCAATGCTTGGGCTTTTTCTGCTCTTGTATGAAGCACTGAAGGTATGCGTCAACCCAAAATGCTGCACAAGCTGTAGGTAGCGTCTATTTCCATTGCTGTTTGAGTCATGCTAACTATATCCCTGCTTCTGTCACTAGAAACACATGCTGAAGGAGGGCAAGGGCCGGATGCTGCAGGCCATTAGCCCAAAGCAGAGTCCCAGCAGTAGCCCCACGCACGACCGCTCCCCATCTCCCTCCTTCCGCTGGCCTTTTTCAACCAAGACTCCTCCCTCCTCACCAGCCAACCGCTCCAGGAATGAGTCTGCGGTCACCTATGACATCAGTGAGGATGAAGAGGATTAAGCTACCAGCCAGGATTCGCTGTGAACCGCTAACCGCCGCATCCTAAGTCTGAACCCACTGGGGAACTCTAAATGAGCGAGAGAGCCATAGGAACAGGGCTGATGGTGAGCACAGTGCATTGGAGGCACCTGTTGCTCTTAGCAAGGGCTGCTGCCTGGAAGCACATTCAAACTTCCTTCTCCTCCCCAAATCCCCTTTTTATTGTTTACATTCTAGTAGTTTCCAGGGGGAAGATCGTTTTTATATTTTAGAAAATACTTTTAAAGCGGAAAGATAGCACTCAAGCGTGGCTTTTGTTTTGGTTTCTTTTCCCTTGTTAAACCTCCAGGCAAGAGGGAGAATGGGAAGACCCATGTGTCTCTTCTTTGCTTCAGTTCCTCTGTCTTATTCCCCCCCACCCCCAGGCAGTATCTGTGCCACTGCCAAATGAAAGCCCCCTCAATCAGCATGACCTTGAGAGCATGCAGGAGGTAGTCGTGTAAAGAGGCCTCTCGGAAATAGAAACATTTCTGCTGCACTGAAGCCCATAGGAATATATCCAGCAGATGCTGTAGTGCTCATGTGCCCCTTAGCTGAGCTTCCCAGAATGTCATAATGAGGATGTGCTGAGCAGGGAGCTGCCAGCTTAGCACACAGGAGTTACACCCTGGAGGAACTCGCAGCACCATAGAGTTGCACACCCCATAAGCACACAGCATTTGCAGCTCCAAACTGTACAGGGCTGCAGGGGAAAGGCCTTTCCAGCTAATCTTAACAAGACTGCTAACTCTTGAGCTAAAATTCAGCCCTCAGTTGCTGTTGGAGAGAAGAGAATGAATCTTTGCTTCAGGGCACTTGCTGTCTGCGTGTTTCCTCAGGTGTGTGAGAGCCCAGGTAGGAAATGAATGTGTGTACTCCTTTGGGAAGTTCCTTGTCCCAGTCTCTGGTGTGTAATAAGTTTTACTGTCTGTCCAAACAGCACCTCAAGACTGTGCCCTGTGCGTGTTTGTGTTTCAGTTGCTGTGCTCTAAGGGCTGGAGCAGTCCTTTACACTGGTGCCATGAAGTTGCTGCTATGAGGACAGAACATGAATGCGTACAGCCAGTTTGCTGCCCATGTTGGCGTGTGCAGCTGGACAGATGAAGGGCATGTTTTACCCCAGTGAAGGGTCGCGGTCCCGTGTGACGGTTACCTGGCTTGCGTAATAAATGCACAAATCAGTGCCTGCTTACTCCGCTCCTTGGGGAAGGCCAGAAAGAGCATCAAGAGAGCCGCAGCTTTTTAACAGTTTAAATATGTAATCTGCTTGTTTGAAACCATGGTGCAGGTTATGCATGGTGCAGCTTTGTGGCCTGCGAGTCCCCACGAGCAGTTGCCCTCCCCATGCTGCATGCCTGTGCACAGAGCAGGTCAGTGTACTCTGGCCTTGAGGCAAGCACTGGAGGAACTGGACTTGCTGTCACGTAGCTGCAAAGCTCCTGCTTCCTTTTCTGTTCGGGTTTGCCTGTGATATCCATTGTCTCTGGGTGGAGCTGCTGGGCAGAGTTGCCTGTATCCTGCAATGCTGGGAGTACAGGACAGCTCAGAGCTGGTCAGGAGCACTTCAGGGAAGTTTTTCGAGTGGGATATGGCACTTGCAAAGCAGTGGTGCAAGGAGGCAAACCGTCAAGTGCTGCCACATGCTGTGCACAATGCGATGCTTCCAGGGATGCAGTGGCCCTGTGGTGGGAGCAGGCTGCCGCTTCTTTCCAGCTTTCATCTTGCTGATCCTTTGTCATGCTGCCCAGAGGGCTTGGCAGAGACTCTGTGCTTCTGTTGAGGCCAGAGCTGGTATCTGGAAGGGTATTTTGGGGATTCTTATCTGCCACTTCGGACCTCTCACAGCAGGGATGTGCACGGCTCTGGGAGCGTGGTTGGCTGCTATGGATTTTTTTGCTATTAAGGAGCAAATAATTGCCACTTGGTACAAGTCAGTTGTGAATCCTCTTGTTTATGAGTGGTAGAGCACTTGCTTTATATCACCTACACTCTCTTTTCCCTCATCTTCCCTGCCTTCCGTTCCTTACCCGTCCCTCAGTATGGGTGTTGTGTTGCTTTCCCAAGCCAGATCACAAAGGCCAGACTGCTCTAGAGCCTTACTACTGTTTTAAACACAAGTTATGCAACAGTGTTCTGTAAATTCAGATAACAGTGGTGTTTTGGGTGATGACTTGTTCTGCAGAGACCTTAATATATTTCCCAGTCTCTCTGCAAAACCTGGGGTACTTGGTAAGAAGCCAGCTATGGTTTTTACATGTAGCTTGGAATAACAGAGCTGTTTCTTGTAACCAATAATCCCTGCTTCCTCCTTGCACTTAAATTAAATTGGAACCTCAAATCCCAGATTAGTCTTTCTTTTTTTTTTCCCTTTGTATTTTTTTGTTTCCTTATGGATTGCTGGACCAGCCTCATCTCCAGCACTGCCCTGTCTTCTGAGGAACAGGACAGAGCTTGGTCTTTGGGCAAAACACATGAGCCAAGTTCTCCAGAATATCCTGTTATCCACAGATGTACCCAGTGCTGCTTCCCAGGGCTGTCCTGCACACCCTTAACTCATCCCACTCCTCAGAAGAAGCACCCGGAAGAGGCATGCTGGAATTGACTGTGGAGTCAAGAGGTAGAGTGGAAAAATAAATCTTTACTAGTATGCATTGACGAATGCATTGAGTTTGATGCTGCTAAATCCAGAGGCATTGACTTCTGCAAGACAGCCCTACCTCAGTTCCTGTACAGATGTGGGGGTGAGGCTGTTGGCACCAGCAGCCAGCCTCTGGGAGAGGATTTTCTGATGGCAAAGAACAGCAGCAGGGCAAAGCTGGAAGGTGCCAAGGATGCTGGTAGAAGCAAGAAATGAAGAGCATGGCACTTTAACAGCATAATGATTAGAGCTGTAGGTCTTTAACCTCTTGGGAAAAGTATGGCACACACATGTACTGAAATGATTTTGTGCCTTTTATGGAGGACTTTATTGTGCAGCCTGGCTCTTGTAACCAGAGGCAGGTGCTAGAGCACCAAGTACACCTGGCAGTAGTGGCGACTTTGGTGGGACTGACCCCGTGTTTTGCCCCTCGTCCTCAGGGTGAGCTTCTTGCTGCCAAGGTCTCCCTGGTGTAAAGGTGTGGGTTGGGTTTCCTACCTGCCTCAGGTAAGGAGCTGGGTCTGGTTGCCTGATTGAGGGAAACAAGTCCCATATTTTGCTCTTCCCTGTGTGTTGCATCTTTGGCAAAGCCATGAGATTGCTTGGTCCCAGTGCTTCTGCTGATGCCTAGAAAGTCGTGTTGGTAAAGGCCATGTGCTGTTGCCTGGAGACTGTCAAATTTGGCAGTCTCATAACAAAACACCAGTGCATCTTACAGGTGAGCAGTTTCGCTTTGAACACTGCCACCTGCAAAAAGCTCTGAGTCACTTTTCCCCCCTTCTCATGGGACAAAAACCTGCTTTTTCCCCAAAATGAATCAATTACATAGAAGTTGGGATCTTGGTCTTTTTGACTGCTTCCCCAAGGGGTTTCGCTGGCCAGAGGCATTACAGTGGGAGGACACCGGGATGCAGTTCAGGGGAAGCTTTGGTAGTGCCCTGCAGCAGGCTCTGGTCTTAGTACAGATGATCTGGCATCTGCTGCCCACTTCCAGCTATGCTGCATCACCCAGTCCTGCTGTCACCTCAGCCCCACAGCAGCAGTTCCTTTAAGCTGGTTCTTTCCAGTCAGTGTTTGCTGTGGTGGTTTCTCCATATGGACCTCTGTGCACACTATGTATCTTACTAGCTTGTTCTTGAGTTGGGTGTTTGGCTTTTATGTTTAGCCAAATAAATGCCAAGTCATTTTACTCACTGTGTGCTAGATTCCTTCTGCCATCCTAACACTGCCAGCTCCTGTTGTGGCCTCCTTACCTGCTGTCTTGAGCAATGGCTTGAGTGAGAAGGTGTTTCATTGCAGGTCAAAAGATTACCTAGTGGTTTCTGGAAGCCATCATTCCTCCTCATGTCCAGCTCCACCTCTGTTCTAAGTGTAGAGCAGATACTGCTACCAAAGCACATCCTGGACAAGGCTGGTTAAGGTAGCATTAACTAATAGCCTGTATTACAAAGGTGCTTCAAGGCTTCTTCCTTTGCCTGGCCCCAGGCTGGCAGATGTGGATGCTCCCACTGTGCTCTCAGGAACAGGCCAGACCCAACCAGAGGTCTCAGGAGAAAATGTTGCTGCCCTGGCAGTGCCTTGGACCCCAGCAAGCAGCACCCAGAGGTCAGTGTTGAAGCCAGGTGCTGAGCACCCTGTGACAGCCCCGTGCCATAGCTGTCCTGGTCTGGGCTCTGTCTTCTCTCTGTGTGGAATCATCTCCCAGCCAGCCTGGGCAGGAGACAGTCTGAGCCCACTCACCAGTGCAAGCCTCAGTACAAACTTATCTTTATTCAGTGCCAGATAAGAGACCCCCAGGCTGGAGGTGGCTTCACAGATCCCTTTGGCTCGTGGCTTACAGGTTTTGGACCCTTTCACCCCATGCCAGGATGTTCTTCTCCCCTGTGCCTCCTCTGCTGCCAGTAGCTCCCCAGGGTTGGAGGATGAGGAGATGATTGTACAGGCAGAACAGCCCCTCGCCTCATACTGCCCCTTGGCACCCCAGTTGCTCCTTCCTGCTCACGCCTTGGTGCTCGTGCCTGTGGGCGTGAAGTGGACAGGCTGATAGCCTGGCTTATCATCCTGTTTACGATAGTATATCCGCGTCACCACTGCCAAGATGAAGGTTTGTGGGATCAGCAGCTGCGCGTTCATCTCTGGAAAAGAAGGGTTGTTTGAAGCCGCCTTCATCCACCATGCCCATTCCCCATGTGCAATGGAGGGGCTCAGCCAGGAGCACGTACCACTGCTCCCCCATCTCCCAACTTACGCTGCGACCTGGCCTTGGAGGAGAAGGGTGGCGAGCAGGCGATGCTGCCGTTGTTGGCCAGGATGCTGAAGATGGCAGGCTGCAGTGCCGTCAGGAGGAGAAGGATCTACAACCACCAACACGTGAGGTAGTGCAGGCTGCACTACTGCCAGGCTCCTGCCCTTCACCTTCCCCACTCTCCAACAGCCCGCCCCATCTCCTCCCTATGCCCTTCATGCTTGCATGAAGCCTGGCAGGATGGGAGCTCACCTGAAAACAGGCAAACTTGGCCTTGATGTTCTGCTCGGTCAGGTGCAGCCGTGCCTGCCGGAAGAGGATGCCCAGGGCCCACAGCCCAAAGAGTGTGGAGGCACCAACCACGGTGTTGATCCAGAGGGCCACGCTCTCCGCTGAGATCTGGGGGGGGGGGACACACACAGAAACACACCTGGGCTGAAAGAGCTGCTGGGCAAGGCAAGGGCTGGTGGAGGTTCTCCATCAGGGTGTCACCCTGCCCTCCTCTCTGAACTGGCACTCACATCAGCAGGGTTGTAGTTCCCATCGGTGGCCAGCACCAGCCCCAGGAAGACACCAACTGCCCTGCAGAAGGCGTACTGGAAAGTCCCCAGCATCAGCAGTTTAAGCTTTCTCCTGGCACAGCAAGAGAGACCATTAGCACCCTGAGGTCCCCAAGCCCTGACCCAGGGGCTTCTCTTTCCCCCCCAGCAGTAGCAGGGTGTGAAAGCCCTCTCCAGGGGCAGGGGGTTACCCCAGCTCTCCCTGACCTGCTCATGGTGATTCGGGGCAGGCAGGGGCAGCAGCAGCAGCAGGGCCCAGTGCTGACAACCATGGGCACATCCTTCAGAGTGCTGAGCACTGCCTCCTTCCCCCCGAAGCCCTCGACCATGACCAGCATCAGGAGGTAGAAGCAGGCAGCAAAGTACCTGT